CAACAATCAGCCCGTCCCCGTAGCAAAACGTACGGACTCGGCGCGAGACAACCGGCAACCGCAGCTGCCGTCCTTTCGTGCTTGGCGAGTGCGAGCCTGGCGTTCAGTTTGGACGGGACGTGTCGGGTCTGTTGCCAATCGGGGCTGCGCCAAGTTTGGCCACCCCCAAGGTCAGGGTCGGGAGTGGGTCGTAGCAACACGACGACGACGACGACAACGGCACGCCCCAACAAGCTCCCCAAGACGCCCCAAACCCATGTTCCAAGAAGGCTTTCTGGGAACCCGATTCATACGGCCTCCGCACCCCTACACAACCGTTTTCCTCGAAGGCCTCTCGGAATGCATATTGGTATGCGTGGACGGTGGTCCACTACTTCAGTGGAGCAGTGAATTCGTCAAGGCCTGGGGCCTGCTAGAACCTGAGCGCCCGCGAAGCGCGCGCGCGATGGTTCTAGTATATTATATTATATTATATTATATTATATTATATTATATTATATTATATTATATTATATTATATTATAGTATATTATATTATATTATATTATATTATGTTATATTATATTATATTATCTTATATTATATTGTGTTATACTATATTATATCATATTATATTATATTATATAATATTATTACTATATATATAAAAAATGAAGCTGTTTGCTGTTGCCAGGGCCCCAGGCACTGCCGGCCAACCCAGCAGGATCGCCGAACACTTTTGGGCCTCCGAAGAAGCATGCTTTTTCTCCCCAAAATTTTGGTCGCACCCAAATTATTCAAACAAATAAATGTTTAAAACTGTTTGCTGTTTCCAGGGCGCCAGGCACCGCCGGCCAACCCAGCAGGATCGCCGAAAACTTCTGGGCCTCCGAAGAAGCATTTTTTAATCAAAGAATTCCACACACAAATTTAGTTTTTTTTTTTTTTTAAAAAAAAAAAAAATGTTTTTTTCAGGAGGCGGAAGAAGAAGAAAAGGAGGAGGACGAAGAGGAGCAGGAAAAGGACGAGGAGGACCAGATTACCAGAGTAAGGAGCAGGAATCGGAGGATGACGAAGGAGGAGGAGGAGAGGGAGAGGGGAGGAGGAGGGGGAGGAGGAGGGGGAGGAGGAGAGTAGGAGGAGGAGGAGAGGAGGAAAGGGACGGAAGAGGAGACGGAGGAGGAGGAGGATGCAGGGGAAAGGGAGAAAGGGAGAGGGAGGAGGAGGAGGTGGGAGGAGGAGCACGACGAGGACAACGAGGAGGAGAAGGGGGGAGCGGTCAGCAATTGGATATCCGTATCCCGTCATGCTCCCACCCCCTGTCTGGTATGTGGTTGTGGTCGTCCGACCCCCCCCCTCCCTGGAGTGGATCTTGGCTGTTTGGGGCGCCTGTTTCGAGCAGGTGGAGTCTCTCCCCCATAGGACACACTGTCGTAAACAGTCGCACTACGCAGAGGTCCGGATCCATGCCCCCCCCTTCCCCCCTTTCCGCCCAGTGCCGGAACGCCGAATCAAGAGAACGTTCACCTAGGCGTCACCACCGCGGCAGTAGTGCCAAGCAGCACCAATGCCGTGAGCGCCAATCACCAGCCTCATTGTGCTGAGCCCTCCCGCTGGGTTCTCTTCCTTCTGACGTTCCTTCTCCCGTCCTTCCCCCTCGCACTCCTCGTTCTTCGTCCTTGCAAGACGCTATTATCTATGGTGCGTCTTGCGTCATCCCGCTCTTCCCCCTTTCCTTCCTCCTCCTCCTCCCCCATCCCGCGTTTTTACTCAAAACTCCCCCTGTCGCAACACTTCGATGTGTCCGAAGGCCTGGTGGCAAGCTGCCTTCGGCCGCCGGCGCTGGCGCCGGCGCTGCCGCCCCGCTTGCGGAGACCACCCTCCAGGCGGGGCGTTCCTCTTCCCCGCCCTTCTCCCCCCCCGCCTTTCGGTTTCCCTTCCTCCCTCCGCGCGCCGCCGTGGCGATCGCGAGGCTGCCGCAGCTCGCAGCCTCCCCACGCGGTCGGGCACCTGGGTTTGGTCTTGCCGCCTGTCCCCCTCCGCGGGCCCAGCATTTTGCTGGTTGCGGTCCAACGTAGACTGCACATGTACTTGACGTGCACTGTCACGTGCCACCCACCTGGGCGGCCTGCGGCCCACTCCCGTTGACCTAGCACCTCGTGTACTACTACCACCCATCTGGGGCGGCCTGCGGCGTCACTGCTTCGTCTACTTGCCTTGACCCGCAGTGGGCCCCATCGGCGCCCGTGGGTGCCCCGGTGCCGCGGCCTGGCAGCTGCCGTGGTTCCCGCCGACGGGGCTGGCCGCGCTATCGCAGTCAGGTGCGAGCTCTGTCGTTCCTGAGTGGCCTTTTCTGTCCCTCCCCCCCGCGGCCGCCTGGTATGCCTTGTCGCCGACGAAAGATATGTCCGAAGGCCTTGTCTGGCGTTTCGCTCGAGACCTTTTGCGCGCTCATGTATCCAGGCAAAGCAAGTCAAACAGTTGCGCGGATGGAGAGCCAGTGGTTTTCATAATGTGGTTGCCCCATATGTCGCCCAGCTGTTGCAACGTTTGCGAAGATGGAGTCCGGTTTGTTTTTGACACGCAGCTGTCGCTTCAGCGCCGCGCACATTGGCCTCGCCTCCAACAGTTGCAAAGATGGAGGGTCAATGCTCTTCAAAGTAATGCTCTCGCCTTCGCACCGCGTGCGTTCGTCTAGCAAGCTTCCAACCGGTGCATGGATGGAGTCGGAGTCGCAGTCCAACTGAGTCCCTCGTTTCGGGCTCTATACGTTACATGACCCGGAGTTTCAAGTGGTGCAACAGTTACACGTGTGTATGGCGGCGGATTTTCACAATCGGGCCCTCGCCAGAGATAGTCGCAACGTTTAAGGATCGTCGCCTTCTTGCACATTTGCAATTTATGCACAAACGGAGTTCCAACCACTTCCACAACGGTGCTACGTCTGGATCGGAGGTTGGGGGGTGAGATCGAAGTGGAACGGAGAGCCCCCCTACCGGGAAATCGATTTCGGTTTCGTGTTCGTGCGTGCCGTGCGGGCGAGGCGAAGCTGCGTGGGCGGGCGAGAGAACGTCTCCTGTGGCTGAGGCGCGGCCGGACCAAATGACTCCCTTCCGGGCGGCCAGGGCCCCGCGGTGTCCCCCGGTGTCCCGCTGGTGTCCCGTGTGGCTGAGGCGCGGCCGGACCAAATGATTCCCTTCCGGGCGGCCGGGGCCCCGCGCGGTGTCCCGCGGTGTCCCGCGGTGTCCCGCGGTGTCCCGCGGTGTCCCGCGGTGTCCCGCCGGTGTCCCGCGGTGCCCCGCGAGGATGATGATGATGAGATGATGATCGTGATGCTGATGATGGTGATGATGACGATGATGAGATGATGATGATGGTGTCCCGATGAAGGATGATGCTGATGTTGATGATGGTGTCGATGATGATGATAGTGTCCCGATGATGGGGGTGATGCTGCTCATGATGATTATGTTGATGATGATGACGATGGTGGTGTCCCGATCATGATGATGATGATTCCGATGATGTTGGTGATGATGATGGTGTTGATGGAAATGGTGTCCTGGCGATAATGATGTTGATGCTGATGATGTTGATGATTATGGTGTCCCGATGATGATGCTGAAAATGATGATGATGATGGTGATGATGATGATGGTGATGCTGAAAGTGTCCCGATGATGATAATAATGTTAATGACGATGTTGATGATGATGATGTTCATTATGATGGTGGTGCCCCAATGATGATGATGTTGTTGATGATGCTGTCGATGATGATGATGCGATGATCATGATGATGATGGTGTCCCGAGGATGATGACGATGTTGATGATAATGCTGATGATGGGAACGATGGTGATCATGATGGTGTCCCGATTGTGATGATGATTATGATGATGTTGATGATGATGATGATGATTGTGTCCCGATGATGATGATGATGATGTTGATGGTGAAATGATGATGGTGATGGTGATGATGATGATGTTGTCCCGATGATGATGCTCACGTTGATGGCGATGTTTATGATGATGGTGACGGTGCCTATGATGATGACGAGGTTGATGATGATGTTTATGTTGATGATGTTGATGATGCAGATGATGATGGTAATGATGGTGATGACATTGATTGCAGGAGCGATTGTGATATCGATAATGGGATCGATATTGAGACCGAATGTGAGATCGATTGTGTGATCGATTGTGATATCGATTGTGAGATTAATTGTGAGATCGATCGAATGCTATAGATCGAATGAGATCGATTGTGAGATCGATCGAGTGAGATCGATCGAGCGAGACCGATCGTGAGATCGATACTGATATCGATAGTGCAACCGATCGAGTGAGACGTTGGTTCCCCCCCCCGAACCTCCTTATCACCCGAAGGGTGGTGGTATAGGTATTTTCCTGACGTTTGTCATCGTCATTCGTTGCGTTTTTTCGGGCTAGAAGGATTGACGGGGATCGATCTTTCACACTAGGGGGATGTACGGGGATGCCAGGCCCACTGGGTGCTCGTCAGTCAACGGGGGCGCTCTTCGCAGCGGGAAGGACTATCTATAGGGAGTCGTCGGGAGGGCATTTGGGGCGGGAGGGTGCCTTGTAACATCGTCGATGCGTCCCGGATTTGCTCTGGTCCTCCTCGTCGTCCTATTTGTCGGTAGCTTTGGGTGTTGGGGTGGCTCGGCTCCATTCGAGGCACTGCAGTGCGGGGGCGGCTTGTCGCCACCTTCCCCATGTTTCCCCCTTTTCCCGCCGTCGTTTTTTTATGACTTTCGGCATCGCCGATTGCACACCAGCGCGGTGCCGACCCAGTCGGGCACCTTCGGCAGCTGCGCGATGTTGCGCGCAGCCCGGGAGGCGAAGTCAGCCTTGTTGGCCGCGGCGCAGCGAAGGCTGCCGAGGAGGAGCAGGGACTGCCCGCGCGGTGACAAGCGGTCCCGCCCGGGTCTGCCCCCGTGCCGTGTCGAACGGTCCTGGAGGAGTTGGCCTCCTCGCCCCCCCCTGCGCAGAGGCCTCTGCACCACGATCGTGATGGTCGTCTGCGCCTTCGCCTTCTTTAGGGAGGACCGCCCCTGTGCCGATCAAGCTCCTTCCTTCCCTCTCCTCCCTCCTCCTCCTCCTCCTCCTCCTCCTCCTCCTCCTCCGCCTCTTTCCTTCCTCATCTGGCCTCTTCCTCGGCATCCGCCTCCTGTGCCAGGCCGCTCGAGCCGCCAAAGCTAGAGCAGCTTCAGCAGCAGGCTGGGTGTGACAACCTTGCCCGTGCTCGCGAGCGGGTCGCTCCCCCCTTTCCCTTTTGCATGTTGACCGGGGTCGCGCCCCTCAACCAGCTTAGGTTTGTGCCTTTTCCGCTGACTGCTCCTGCTCCTCCTTTCCCACAATTGCCGGTGCGCGCTTTGTCTGGCCGCAGATCTTCTCTGTACTGTCCACCTGAAATTGCCATGGGTATCCGTCCAGGCACGACCACGGTCGAAGGAAACTCGAGATTGATGTCTCGAGGTCAGACCACTTCCTCTCCCTCCTGCTTGTTTCCCGCTTCCCGTCCGTATTGTCATCCTCCCCTCCCTCTCTCCCTCCTCCTCCCTGCTACCCTCCCCCCTTCCCCCCTGCAGGAGGAGGGGGAGGGAGGTGAAGTAGCCTCCGCCTCCTCTCTCCCCGAACAATTCCGGCCAGGGCATTCACTTCGCAGTTCATGGTGTTTGGGAGCCGCGTCTGGGCCCTCGGGCCATGCAAACACGACTCGGTGCGCAAGACTGGCTCCACGCAAGGGGTAAGGTCTTCTAGGGGACCCGTATTGATCTAAGAAGTCGTCTTCCAAGACGCCTCATTCCAAGAGGCCTCCTTCTAAGAAGATTGTCCTTCTCCGCCTCCGCCTCCTCCTCCTTCTCCTCCTCCGCCTTGTGATTTCTCAATACGGTATTGAGAAACCAGAAGAATAGCATTGAAGGTCTGGGCCTCCCTCCCAGCCACTATCATGCCCTTCATCTCGGCTTGTGCTCAGCATTGTGGAGTCTTCTCGGCCTCTCGTAGAGGTAAGTCGGGTTTGTCCCTCTATAGGAGGAATCGCCAAACATAGTTAAAAGATATTCAATCGCTTCGCTCATTCCGCCGGCCCATGTTGCATGATCGCTACTGCTTCGCCGTGGGCCTGGGGCCATTATGGCGCCGCCGAGGAGGAAGAAGATGAGGATGGGGAAGGGGAGGGGAGGAGGAGGAGAGGATGAGAAAGAGAGGAGGAGGAGGAAGATAAGTAGGAGGAGGAGGAAGAGGAAGGGGCGGAGGAGGACGCCTCTCGTTGGCATCTTGTGTTGCTCTTGGGGCCAAACAGGGTCGTCGTCAAGATGCTTCTTTGGGAGGCCTCTTGGGGTCTTTTGAGAAACCGTTCGGGGGCGCCTGGGAGGCATTTTTGAAGCCTTCTGGGGGGCCTCCTGGGGGCCTTTTGGGGGCCTCTTGGCGGCATCTTGGGGCCTCTTGGGGGCCTCTCGGGGCCTCCTGGGGCCCTCTTGGGGCGGAAGGCTCGAAGTTTCGGTTCGTGGTCCCCCTCTTGGGCCCCTCTTGGGGCCGTCTTGGGGCCGTCTTGGGCCGTCTTGGGCGCCTCTTGCGCCGTCTCGGGGCCCTCTTGGGCCCTCTTGGGGCCCTCTTGGAAGCTTCTTGGCCCGTCTAGGGGCGCTCTTGGGGGCCTCTTGGGCCGTCTTGGAGCATCGGATGGTCGAAACGGGGACAAGGCCCAAATCCTTCCAAAACCAGTGTAAAATGTATGATTTTGGCCTCTCGGGGCCCTCTTGTGAGGCCTCGTGGAGGCCACTTGGAGGCCTCTTGGGCCGTCTTGGGGTCATCATCGGCGTCTTCGAGCGCTCTTTGGGCGTCTCGGGGGCCCTTTGGGCGGCTGTCTTGGGGGCCTCCATGGGGCACTCTTGGCGCGCTCTGGGGGGCCTGAGAAGCCACACCCAGGAGGAAAACCATCTCTGGGTAGCAGTGGTCGGGCTGCGGTCGGGGTACTTTTCGCCGGGGGACCCCCAGGGGCCGCCCCGCGCGCGCGAACTAGAAATACTGTTAACCAGTTACCGGAGATTAGCACGCCTTTGGCCCGTTGGGCCGGCGAATTATGAGGACGAATTTTCGATTTTTTTTTGAATATATTTAGAGTATTGTTTCACTATTTTTTATTTCCCCCCTCAGAAACCGCCTGTGGGGGGACAGGCCCGACCTAATCGTAGAGACAAATCAATCGTCGCGATTCTTATCTAAAGGCTGCCGCCTCTGCCGCCGACCCCAAAGAAGGCTCTGCAGGTGTTTTGTTGGGACATCCCGGGTTTCGGGTTTTTTTTCGAGGTTTTGGGGAAGTCAGAGATTGTCCATTTCAGTCCTCGCGCGATCACTGTCCCGCTGTTGCCGCGAGTGTCGCGGCGCTCCCGCAGGGTCGTGAACCTTCTGGTGCTTTGCCGTCCGAAACAAGCAGATGGGCTAGTGGGTGGGACTCGCAGGAGTAAGCGTGACCACAGCGGGGTGGGGGCTCTTAGAGAACTACAGAAATTCTGTGGCATAACACGTGGCATTCTTCCAGCTCTCAACGTGCCAGAAGGTACGGTGGCGGATACCTTTGTGTGTACGAGAGGATGACGCGGGCGGCAAGGAGGGCAGGAGAGGAGAGGAGGCGGGAGGAGGCGGGAGGAGGGTTGGGAATAAAGCAAGATTCACAAAGCGAGGAGATATGAGGAGAGAGACGGAGGGCGGGAGGAGAAGGACGGGTGGACCGCAGTGCTCTATTCAAAGCGAGAGTTTCCAACGCAAGGAGGGTTGGGGAAAAAAGAAGTGGGGTCCAGGAACGGCTTTGGAACGCCGAAACTCGCCAAAAAATATGTTCTGCGCGATCCTCTTGAGCCGTCAGGGGTTGGAGCTCCTGGGTGGTCTCCGGAGGTCCCCGAAGGTCCCCGGGGGTCCACCTTCCCGGACTCGATGTTTGACGGTCCCGGGGCCGGCTGAGGGCCTACGAAGGTTGAACATTGGCCAAGATTGGCCGCTCCAATTTTGTTGGAGCGCAGGATCTCTGGGCACGATGTCGCCTCCATCCTCGATCCTCGCTCGACGCCGCCAGCCATTTCTGGGCCAGCCTGGCCGGGCCGAGGGGCCCCTCGGCCCGCGCGGTGCGGGTTCCGCGCCGGCGGCCGGCGGGCGCCGCGGGCCGCGTGGAGACGCTCCAGGTGGAGCCCTTCGAGGCCGCCGCCGCCGCCGCCGCCGACGACGACGACGACGACGACGACTCGGGTGGCTCTCCGTCGCCCCGGACAGATCGAGGCGGCCGTCCCGGACGTGGGGTGGATTGATTTCTTCGATCCCGGCGTGCTTCTCCGTTTCGGCCGTTGGGCCGGGGGCCGCCTTCGGGCTTCCTGGCGTCGAAGCTACCCTCAGGGAAGGGCTCGTCGGGCGGGCCCGTCGTCGGAGCGGCCGCGGCGCCACATTCATCGCCCGAGCCAGCCGACTCTCGGAGATTTCGAATTATCCCGATCCGAATTGGCCCCGATCCTCGCCTGTTTCAGGTCGGCGCCTCTGGGGCCCGCGGAGTGAGCAAAATGAACCCCGTCGACCTAGACATCCGACGCCGTGTTCTTTTGAGCGCGCGGTCCCCGGAAGCCCCGGCCCTTTCCTCCGGGATCGGTTGTTCATCCCGAGGTGCTTTCTGACACCTCCCGGGGCCTGCCGAGGGCCTCGAGAGGCCGAGAGCAGCGGCAGACCTCCGTTCAGGGCTCGACCTCAACGGTGTTTTTTCGTTTCGCTTCCGTCTAGTTCTCGTTTTCTTCTGCCCCTTTCCCTGCGCCTTTCCGCCAAAACGAAAAAAGAAGCGAAGCCCAGCGTCCAACAAAACAGCGGTTAGGTTGGGTCCTGGGAAGCAGCGAAAGACGTCCTGACGGCGTCGGAGGTCTGGGGACGTCATGGGGCCCTTCTGCTGTTGCGGTTCCACCGCTTCCGCGGGGGCCGAGGCCGGGCGCCGAAGGAGCCCGGGTCTGCCGAAAGGGTCCGGGGAGCAAGGAGTGGCGCCAACACCTTCAGAGAGGAGAACCACGATGGTTCCTCGGGCCGTCGACGGGGGATGTCTCGAGCGAAAGGGGGGGCCACGCCACCAGGGGGCCCCCCCGGGCTGCTGGCGGGGGTGGTCCCAGGGCGGCGTTGGTGTCGCCTTTCCTCGCTCCGAAAGGGGGGGGGGGTAGTTTTTTTTGCCCGTCGAGTTTTCGTCGAAGGTTTTCTAAACGTTTCGGGTTTTTTCGGGCGTTCCCGGGGGGCTTCGGGGGCTCCCAGGAGGTTCCCAGGGGTCTTTGGGTGCCGCCAGAGACTCCCATAGGTTTTTTGGTCTTCTTGATTTTTCTGCGATTTTTGGGTTTTCGACGACGAAGGGGGGATTGGGAGAGGAAGGGGCGCCCCTGGCGGCGCCTGCGCGCTGGGGAGAGGGGTGCAGCGCCGATCCGAGGAATCCGCGCGGACCTTTCGCAGTTTATGTTTCTGGCGTTATTTCTTCTGCTACAGCCGAACATATGTTTAAGAAAATTGTTTACGCTTCGCGAATCCCCGCCAGCCCATTCAGAAGCCCTGTCCATGAGAGCTGACAGGAAATGGAAAGAAGAGACACATATAGTGAAACAGAGCGGGCAAGGAGAGGAGGGGGGGGAGGGTGTTGAGCTATCTTGGAGGCTGGCTTGGAGCCCAAGAACAGAGCCCAGAGGCCCGGGGGTGTCGGGGCCAGGTGGGGGCGAGGTGGCGGCCACGTGGGGGGTATGGGCCGATTTTGGGCGAGAAATCAAGGGGTCGGGGGTCCGAAGAACAGGGCCCAGAGGCCTGGGGGTGTTGAGGCCAGGTGGGTGCGAGGTGGTGGCCAGATGGGGGGTGTGGGCCGATTTTGAACGAGAAAACGCGGGGTCGGGGGTCCCAAGAACAGAGCCCAGAGGCCTGGGGGTGTCGGGGCCAGGTGGGGGCGAGGTGGCGGCCAGGTGGGGAGTATGGGTCGAATTTGGGCGAGAAATCGTGGGGTCGGAGGTCCCAAGAACAGGGCCCAGAGGCCTGGGGGCGTCGGGGCC